TTTCTCTGCTCCATCTCAGAGGCTGCACTCTGGAGGCGAGAGCTGGCCCACAGACACATGGTTTGACCTGTACACTATTTAAACATTGAGTAGACTAGTTGCCAAAATTTAAAAATTGGAAATTTTCACAAAACAACCTGAATTTCTAGTTTTCCTGCCCCCGTCCCCATGCAGTATATTCCTGGAGAGCAACAATTGGCTGGAGCTGAGGATGGGGTGCCCTCCAGTGGGGATGGAGCTCCCGGCCCACTGGCCTCCTCGCTGACATCACCATCAGCCCCACAGGACCACGAGGGACCATTTCAAAGCCTGCTGCTTTGCCTTGCACACTGGCCTGGTCTGGGGGCTTTAAGAACTTGAGGACACACCCAGGCCAATTTCTTAAGGGTCTCTGGGGTGGGATCAAGGCTTTGGGGTTTTTAAAGCTCCCGTAGGCGATTCTGGTGAGCAGCAAGATTGAGGATGACCAGCACACTGATCCTGGCCGAAGGACTCCATCTCCAGGTGGCTTCTTAAGGCTGGCTTCGCCGTGGCTCCCCATCCATGGCCCTCAGCAAGAGCCTCACCCGCGACAGCCCAGCCCTGTCCTGGCCTTGCTCAGAAGAAAGACCCTCTGTTCTCCCTCCCGGGGACTTCCCAGGAGGCCCTGGATATTTCACTTTGCTCATTGTGTGATACCCAGCGTCTGAGCCCCAAATCCCAGTCTTGGCGAGAGGGCCAAGTGTGAGCAGTGGCGGCGAGGCCTGGGCTGCTGTCTCCGAGGAAGATTCTCTCCTATATATGGTCACCCGGGAGTCCTATCGCTGAGCTAACGTGTGACCTAATGTGCTGACAATCTCGCCCAGTCTGGGGCCCAACTTGGGGAGGGCCCTCTCCCTGGAGAAAGCGTCCGCTTGGGGGCAGAGGGGCTGGGAGGAGGGAAATGAGTGGCGTGGAGGCAGGGCAGTGACAAGATGACCCAGTCGCAGGAGAGCGAAAGGGCAGCCTGAAGTCCTTCCCGTCCCACTTGGCCTCACACATTTGTGAGACCGTCCGACTCCCCACTGACGCTCTAGGTGAACAAGGAAATCCACGAGCCTCTCTTGCTTTTAAAAGTTTTTTTAATACAGCATGAAAAGGCTATATTTCTATAGGCAAGCCGTATACAGATTCTCCAGGAATAAGGCACACAACGGAATGCCATCCCGAGGACGGCCCTTCGGGGAGCTCGGGAGCCTTCTCCACGCGCCCACCGAGCGGGGCCCACGGGTTCTGTTTGTCTTTTTAGCTGGACACACATGTATTAACAGAGACAGACCCGGACGGGGTCACCACACGGGAGTGGAGGAGGTCGAATGGAGGGGTTGGCAACAGAAAGCAGTGAGCCTGCTGCCACCAGCCCCCGGGGGACGGCTCAGCCACCTCCCTGAAGGCCTGAATGCCTCCCCGACTTCAGAGTTAGTTGTTGCGCTGGGCTACAATGTAGTGATGTTGGATTAAATATTTGTTTAGAGTGGATTCAAGTCTATTAGATGTCAGAGGGCAGGTGTAAGGTCTCTGGCTGACATATCCAAGTTCAAAGAGGATGGGGCCTAGAGGCATGGCTCAGATGGCAGAGCTCCAAAGAGGGGCGTGGAGAAGTCTGCCTCCTGCTTCCTCTTCCCTCCTTGGGCCCTGTCGATCGGGGGCCCTCCACCAGGCCAAGGAGGCCGTCTTTGGAGCTGGCCGAGCATGGAGGGGCTGGTTAGTCACATGCCCCTTGTTCCCCTGGCCCACTCCACTCCCCAGCCCCCTACAAAATTAATAACCATAATAACAAGATAATAATAAGAAGGTGCGAGAGAATGGATTACAATGCTGTGCTGGTTATCCTCAGCTGAAGAGGCTCGAAGGGGTCACCGTTCCCTTCTTCACTAATCTAATAATAGTTTCCCTTAAAAAAGGCAATACTTCCCAAAATACACACATGTATAAATACAGGACAGGAACATATTAATAAGTCTAAACACTTGAATAATATGCTGGCTACTTAATACTGATATTTTCATCCAAGGAAAACAACACAGAATAACAATATGGCTTAAAGAATTGCAAAGATTTTTTTTCCTCATCAGAATTATGTACCAACTTCATATAATATTCTATGTAGACAATATTTCCTTCTTAATGTAGTTCAGTTGCATACTTTTTACAGACCAAAGCATAGTAAAAAATCAAACCAAAAAAAAAAAAAAAAAACCAACAACAGGAAAAAGAGAAAAGTTCTCACCATAAATATTTTCTTGCAGCTCAACCAAAAGGTTTGGAAAATACTTCCAGAAATCTTCGTTTGATATTCTATTGCCCTCCTCAAAGTTCTGACGTTTTGAAAATGCCTCTCTGTTTGTTTTTTGAATCTCAAAAATTGGGCAATTATATTTTTCTTTTCTTTTTCTTTTTTTAAAAAAAGGCCTTCAAATATATACAGACAAAAATCAATGTGAAGATTTTTCGGGAGAAGATAACAAATTCAGTGTTGTGAGAAAAATTGGTAACCAGGCAGAAATTTTAACATCTATGATTTTTTTTCAAAATACACACATAGTATTTTTCTTTTTTAAAAAAAGGAATTCTGTGTCAAGTATAACTCAAAATAAATACAAATTCACAAGTAGAACTATTGAATACTTCATATGGGGTAAACATCATTATCTCCCAACTAGATCCCTAGATCCACTAACTGCAAGCGATTGTCCCTTTTGAACGTACGAAAACCACACACTTTCTTGTCCCTGGGGCTCCCAGGCCCTCTGAGCACTCAATTCTCACAGCACCCAGCCTGGACAGCAGTGGCTTTTGCTGACCACAGAGAGCTCCCAAATTCAGCTGGAACAGTGCAGGAGGGGGCAGTGCAGAGGGCCCAGCCCCTGCAGTGGCCAGCTCTGCACAGATGGCAGGGGCAATGGCTGCCAGCTGGACAAGCCCACTGGAAAGGTCATTTTGGGGTGATATCCTATCTCCTGTTGGCCTGCGGAAGGCCCTGGCCTCCAGCAGTCTGGAGCCTGGGTTCTTTTTAGGGTGTGGGCTTCCCCCACCATTGCAGCACAGTTGGCAGGCCGCAGGCGTCCTGGGGCCAGGGTCTCCCTGTGGGGCCAGGACCCTGCAAGTGTTGGGGCCTGGTCCTTGCAGCAGAGACAAGCGCATTGCCCACCACTGCGAACCTTATCTTTAGCAGTGCGCTAGGATGACTGACAGTAACAGATTCTCCTAGGGGACAGAGAGCCTCAGGCCAGGGCGACTCCAGCTCACCTTGACACCGTGGAGAAAGCAGGGAGCAGCTGGGAGGGAGTCCTCAGTGGCATTCCCAGTGGGTGGTGAGGGTGTTCACAGTAGGTTGCCAGGCATTCTGCCCCCTGTGGGCAGGAGGGAGGCAGGTATAGGGCCCAGGCTGGAGCAAATACACTTTTTTTAAGTGCTCAGAGGGCATGGCCCCCTGAAATCTACCCTGCAGCCCCCTGGCTGCAAATCCACTCACTCCATCTCTTCGTCTCGCTCCCTGGACCCCTAGCTAACACTTCACCGTAACTCCTCAGTTGTATAAAGCATTTTCATTTGAAAATAAAAGGCAACTGGGCACCAGCTGGGTGTCCTTGAGCCGCGGTAAACACTGAATTTCAGGCCCATTTTGTGGTCTGATTTTTTTTTTTCTCCACAGAGGCATGTTGGGGCAAAATTAAGTGACCCGGTCCTGACAGCCGGCTCTCTCTCTCTCCCTGGGAGAAAGGAAGGATCTGACAATAAAAATGGGGCTTCTCATAGGGGAGAGAGGGGAGAGGAGAGTGCGATCCCTCCTGCTAGCCAGGACGGTGTCTCCCTGACCAGTGTGACATGGCAGGAGGCCTCCCTGCTCCCTCGGGAGGTAGGAAATCATTATCCTCGTTTTACAAATGAGGGCTTCTGTAGCTTGTCTTGGGTTTGCCCTGTGTGAGCAAGAGGGGAGATCCTTCTCCTTCATTTTTGCAGAGGTGGGGGACAACAGGTAGGGCTGGGACCACAGGGGACCTCAGGGGAGGACTGGCATCCTCAGCTTGAACTCTTAAGTGACCGACTGATGCGCGACGGTGCGAAGCAGCGGACCTGGTAAAACTCTCCAAATGAGGCTTTCTGCTCCAGGAGCTGGCACCCGGCCAGGCTAAATCCCAGCACGTCAGAACTGGAACGGATCTCTCTGCTCCCTAGTGGCACTCTCTCACTTAACTAATGGGGAAACTGAGGCCTGGAGATGAGAAGTCCTTCCCGAGGTTCCGGAGCGCGTCAGCGGCAGGGCCAGCATCTGAACCTAGGTCTCCAGACCGGCAAGCCTGTGTTCTTCCTGACACATTGGCTTCCCTGCTGGGCCCCACAACTTTAATCAGGGGGTCAGCCCCCAGCGTGGGAGGGAAGGGAAGGGGACAGAAGGGAATGGGGCTGACAAAATCCAAGCAACTGGGAAACGCGTGTGGTGGCGAGTTGGGGAGGCATTGCCTAATGTGCCCCAGGTCACACCTTGGGACACTGTCCAGCATTCAGTGCCTCCCTGTCCCTCATCTCTGGGTCTACAGGGGCAGGGGACGTGCAACTCCCAGGTGCAATGCCAGTGACGTCAGAGATGCTCAGGTGTGGGGCTCAAGGTGGGCAGGGGACAGAGATGCCCACTTCCCCGCAGCTGCTAGAACAGGCATCAGCTCGCCATGACTGCTGACTTAGGACAGACAAATGGGGCTTTCTGAGAGAGGCTTTGCACACAGGGCAAACTGGAAGGTTCTGGTAGGAGAAGGCAGCCTGGCTGGTCCTGGGGAGACAGTCCCCTGCAGGCTTTGGGATTCACAGTAAATTTAGTGCACTTGTGGCCAATACAAGGCTGCTCACCCCAAAGGAAGTCTCAGAGGAGGAGAGCCTGCGGGGGACACAAGGGCTTTGTGGGGTCCTGTGCACCGACCTCTGCTCGCCCCTGTCCCCTCCACACAGACCCAGGCCCACCCGTAGAGAGTCCCAGAGACCTGGCCCTCTGCGGGGACAGCTACATCAGTAACACTGTTTGTCAACACACATGAGACAAGAACCTAAGACCCCCCTGCCCAGACCCGTAGGCTTGCGAGGACACCCCCACGCATGTGGGGACACGCAGCAACATGGAGAAACACAGGGGAGGTGGTGTCTTCTCCGGCTGGCAGGAGGGTGGCTGTGGCGTGGCGGCTGGTGCCGGGTCATTGCACTCGGCGGCAGTAGTAGCCGAGCACCTTGCACTTCTCGCAGAGGTGCTGCGGGTGCTCCTTGCTCTGGTCGGACACGTCCAGGCCGTCGGGCTTCTCCAGGGGTCTCTGCAGAGAGCAAGGAGGAAGAGGGCCCCGGGCAGGGCGGGAGGAAGGAGGGGTGGAGAGAAAGACAGAAACGGAGAGAGTGAGACAGATGTAGAGACAGCAGACAGAGAGAGAGTGTCAGATAGACAGACAGACAGACAGGCGGAGCGAGACAGACACACAGAGGCCCAGAGAGAGTGCTGTAGTCACTGAGGTTGTTTCCCAAGGTGCCCGGGGCCCTTCCTGCTTCTTTCCTGTTGCAGGATCATGTCCTGGAGGCACAGGCTGAGCCCCAGGCCAGGACCAGGGCTGTGGGAGGGGGTCCTCTACCCAGCTCCTCGGGTCTAGATGCCAATTTGCCCTCCCCCTGTACTCCCTGAGCAGCCACCACCTGAAGCTCACAAAAGCCCAGGATGGAGGGAGGGCAGGGGTGCACAGATATTATCTAAACGAGGAAACCAAGGCAGATAGCAACGGAGACCCAGGCCCACCTCTCCTGATCCCCCACACTCAGCACTTCTTCCCAGGCCACTTGTCATCCTTGTGCCTGCCCCTGCGGCCTCAGGACTCAGGGAGAGTTCAACCTGGACACAGTGCCAGCCCTTCAGGCTTGGCAAGCAAGCCCGCTGCTCCCTGAGGTCAGCAGCCCGTGTTCTGATTTGCCCCTCTTCCGAGGGCCTGGCACAGCACTTGCCATGTCTGGTGAGGGGCTAGATGAGCAGAACTTCACTGTTTCCTATCAGGGAAACTGAGGCCCAGAGAAAGCGGGTGACTTGCCAGACCCATGATGCTACTCACTCACTGTGTGACCTCAGGGAGCCTCGGTTTCCACAACTGTAAAGTGGGCCCTCGTCACACCTCGTCTGCAGGGCACTGGAAGGATTCAGCTGTCTGGATGTTTGTAAACTGCGCAGCCTTAGGCATGGATGAGCACACTGCTGTCACACAGGGAGCTTCCCCGTTCCCTCCTTCCCTCTCAGCTCTCAAAAGCCAGCAAGGAGTTATTCCCCTGGAAAATTTATGGAGGCTGTGAGGCACACCTCCTGAGGCAGACAGTTGCTTGGCTGGCAGCCGTAGCCCCAGCCCAGACCCCCTGCATGCAGAAGGGTCCCCTGCACAAACTCGGGGGGACTCAAAGGGAGCTGGTCAGGGCCAGCTTAGAGCCACATGCCGAGGAGAGGGGGCAGGAACTGCAGGCTGGTGTGGGGCAGGGGAACCTCGTGACCAAGTGACCATGACCAGGATGGCCCAGGAGAGAAGCTGGGAGTGAGCACTGCCCTGCCCCGGGCAGTGAACTGATCAAAAGTGGAGCACTGGCTTTTCTGCCCAACTACGCAGTGCCTGGCCCCAAGGCGACACGCAGAGCCCATGGGGAATGGAAGAGTCAGGGGGCTCTAGGGATGAGCGTAGGGACTGTGGGTGGGCAGGGTTCTGATCCAGGGGTCATAAAGCCCACCCCTGCGCTTCCAGGCCTAAAGCCACGCAGGGAAGGCCCGGGAAAAGGACAGGAGGCTTGGTCTCATCTCAAGGGGCTTTCAGATGACCGGCTTTCCTGGCCAGAGGAGCGGAGACAGAGTTTGGCCTCATGTCAGACCTGGGCCTGAACACCAGCTCTGCCACCTACGAGCTGTGTGACCTTGGGCAAGCCACCTGACCTCCAATCTTCCATTTCCCCAACGGTAAAAGGGGACGTTGATAACACTTCTCACGAGATTATTGTTACAACCCAATGAAGATCATGAATGGAAACAGCATAGCATATAGAAGCTATTCATGTTGCTGATATTATTACTATTACTAATGGAAGGGAGATGCCAGCTGGTAGAGGGTCACTAAAAGTCGAAGCCAGGATTCCTTCATAGCCAGGAAGGCCTAGGAAGGTCGCATGCCCGGTTCTCCCAGACCGGGATGGACACCTACAGCAAGCCGAGAGCATCACTCGCATGCCCAGGGCTGGGGAGCCCCCTGCCCACGGAGCTCACTGGTTCAGTTCATTGCCTGCACTGTAAGAAAGGCTGCCCGATCTTGAGCTGAAATCCGGGGCCTTGTACCCTCATCCCAGTGATCCCAGCCACGCACGTGCCACACAGACTCTGCTCGGCTGCACAGGACTGTGGATGTGAGTAGTTCTGAAGCCTCGCCTCTCCCAGACCAAACCCAGCCTGGTTTCCACCTCCCATCCCCCACTCTTCATGCTGGCCAGGGCCCCCTCCCCGAACCGGTCTTCCAGGAGGGGCCGGAGAGGTCCGAGTCAGCAGGCCTGACACCACCTTGCTCCCCATGGTTTACACTTTACAAAGCACTGCCACGTAAATCATACCACCTAACTCACACCTTCTTTGAGGGGTATATCTCTATCCACCTTACAGATGAGGAAACTGAGGCTCTAAGACATTAAGGGTCTTGCCCAGGGCTCTGCAGCTTCACCTACCTGCCGAGGGCTGTTGGGAAAGACCTTTCTCCTCCAGAACCTCAACTCGCCCTTCTGCAACCTGGGCAGGAGGTTAATAACACTCGTTGGGTGTGTGATAGCAAGAGAAGCAAATGAGATGACTGTCTTAAATAGTGTATAACCATAAAGAGCTCTGCAAGGCTTACAATTGCTGTGTGACCTTTAGCAAGTCACTTAACCTTTCTGTGCCTCAATTTTCTCCTCTGTAAAATGGGGCTAATAAGTACCTACTTGATAGGGTTGTTGTGAAAAGTAAATAAGTTAATAATTGTAAAGTTATTAGAACAGTGCCTGGCACATAAAGAACAAAGGGACCAGCAGTAATATATGTTATTACTATTATTATTATGTAGGGCTGGGGGCAGGTGGGGAACAGGGGAACCAGCTGAGTCCCTGTGGAAACGCCCCTGCAACATCCTCACCGCCCCCCTCCTCTGCTGTGACCCTATCAGAGCCCCTTCCCTCCATGAGTCCTGGCTCAGCCCTGCCCAGCCTCTGGGTAGAGGAGCCGGGGAAGCGGGGAGACAACTCCCCTCTGCGGAGGGAAAACACTGGGCAGCTGGGATTGATCACCGCAGGGCTGTCCCCACCCCCCGTAGTGAGGCAAAGCCCATTAGTGTTTTCTTCTCGTGGGGGGCAGGGCCAGCAGCGGGGAGCCACAGCTGGAGCCTGACGGGAAACAGATGTGGCAGAGGAGGGAGGAGAGGGGAAGCACAGGGTTCTCCGGAGATGGATGCCGCACAGGTCAGAGCTCAGGGGGCAGGAGAAAGAAAGCAGCCCACCTCCACTCTGGGGGTCAGGGGGCGGGGATGCCAAGCCCCTCCTCTCAGCTCTTCAAAGGCTCCTGACTACTGGGAATTGGGTGGGGGCACCCACCTCACCCCTCCTGCCCAGCGTGCAACCTCCTTAGGGGAGAAGAGCCGTGTGAGAGAAGCACACGAGCCAGTGAGAGGAGACTAGGGGCTGGGTGGTGGGAAAATGGGCGTGGCGTCGTGCAAGGGGCACAGCGAGGAGTTCTGCCCTGCCAAGAGGCAGGGAATGAGGAGGCTGCAGCCACTGCGGGGAGTGCATGGGCTTCGGGTCCCACTGGCTTCGGGTGCATGGGCCAGGCCCTGCCTCTTTGCGTAGGTCGCAGAGGGTGTGAGAGCCATAAGGACTGAGCCTCCCAGACCCCCAGCACAGACCCAGGCACCCATATGTCTGGGCCCCTTACCATCTCACCTCCCCAGCCAGCCACTGTGACCTGCCCTCCCTGCTCCCCTCCTCATTCCTAGGTCTCTCATCCGCCCCTTCCAGGTTCCACATTTCCTCCGGTCCCAAACTTGATCCTCTTCATGAATCCCAGCTTCTCTACTGAACTTGGGTGAGTCACTTACGCTCCTTGCCTCAGTTTCCTCCTCTGTAAAATGGGGAGACAAGAGAGCTGACCTCAGGGGGTGGCTGAGAGGACAAGTATAAAGTGCTGAAAGGAGTGCCGGCCACTGCAAGCTGCTGTTGTAATTTTTCCAATTCCTGCCCTCTCCCGTCCCCGAGATCCTCCTGTGGCCCCACTCCGGTTCCTGCTTGCTTCCTCACACCGGGTTCGTGCAGGGCTGAGCCGCCTGGCCTCAGAGCGGGGCTTCCAACAGCTCAATAAACCGTCTCCAGACACAGGTGCAAGTGCAACTCTGAGGCACCACTCCTCACCTGGGACCTTGGGAAGGCCACCTGGCCTCCCAGGACCACGCTTTCCCTCCCTGTGAAATGGGGATGAACAGAACACCCAGTTCCAGGGCAGAGCACACGTGAAGGGGGCGCAGGGGCTCAGCAAACGGCACCCGGAGGGCGATTCGGGCCAGAGTTCCTCTGAATGCCAGTGGCTCACCCTGTCTGACTGAATCCTGTCTCTCTGGTTCGAGAAGAAGCTCCTGGAGGGCCTGGTAGCCCCTGACCTTCGTCTTCCTTCAGTGCCTGCACAGATCTGGCTCACGAGGAGCCCTCAACAAAGTGGGTCCAGTAAGAGGAAGAACGAGCCTCTGAACGGCACCTGCCACGCCCAAGGGCCCCTGGGAGAGCAGAGTTCAACCCCGAGGGCAGTGTGCTGCCAGTGAGACACAGGGGGAAAGGTACTTTTGCACTGCGGTCCCAGACTTTCTCAGGAATTGCCTGGCAGACTTCAGGAACCAGGATGCTGGCTCCTTTAGACTGCCCGTCCCTGGCCCCACTGGCCGGACAGGCTCCTAACACACTATGTGAGTGTCACGTGCCTATGCCCACTCTGGGTCCCCAGGCCTGTCTTGGCACTACTGGGTCTCGGTCTCTCCCTCAGTGCCATTAGGGTGTGGGCCAGGACCCTCCACTAAAGAGACCCTCGTCCGCTGGGCCGCCATAGCCAGCTTCAAGTCTATTTGCCTGTGTGTGTCAGTGTGGGTGATGGGAACCCTTGGGAGCAGGGGGAGGAGAGTCTGCAAACAGAGGGAACAGAGGCCAGCATGAGGGTCATAAAATCACAAAATGTTTCAACCACCAGAGTCCTCTGGGACCGCTCCCAGTCACTCCTAGTAGGCTAGAGACCAAATTCGGGGCCGTGGCCTCTGAGCCAGCCCGATGCAGCCCGGCCCCTCCCTCCGCACTCTGCTTCTCCCCTGAGCTCCTCCAACGCTCTGCGCTGGGTCTGTCCTCCCCACTGTGCACATGCTGTTCCCTCACCAGAACTGTACCATCCCCTCTCTGCCACTCCCACCCAGCCTCCTAGTAGAGACCCTCCACTCCCCATTCAGAGCTCAGCCTGACCTCACTGCCTCAGCAGAGCCTTCCTCAAGAGCTCCAAAGCCTACCTCGCCCACCCCCTCACCTCCCTTTCAGTCCTGCCTCCTCCGCCCCTGCTCCTGCCAGCCTTCTTGGTGACTCAGCTCACGCAGGGAAGACTCATCTCACCCCTGGCTCCTCAGGGCCTCGACTACGTCATCAACAGTGACCTTCTCTCCCAACACCACCCCCTTGGCCACACCCTAGACTTGGTCCTCTTCAGAAACCTGCTCTGTCCAGCTCACTGGCTCCCACACTGCACCCAGTCCTGGCCCCACCTCTCCATCAGAGCCCCTCTGGCTTCCCTTCCCAGCCACCTGGCTGACACCCCAGGATCATGCATTATCATCACACTTTTCCAAACAGGCCCAACTCTTTGACCTCCTTCCCTCTGAAACACTCTCCAGCAAACCTCTGCCCCTGTACCCCTGTTCTCCATCTCTGGCCTGCGCCTGCCCCGTGAACCCTGCTGGAAAAAGTCACAGAACTAGGCAGACAGCTCTGCTCACAGCTATGACCTCAAACACCCCGCGGGCCGGGGATGCTGCCTGGTAGTCCGGCTAGGTTTCTCTGGCAGGCCCGCTTCCTCGCTCGTCCTTCCTCAAGCCTGCCATACCCCTCCTCACTCTCACTTTAGCTGAAAACCTCATGTCCCACTTCACTGAAAAACAGAGCCCTTGGAAGTGAAGCTCCTCTTCTCTGCACCATCAAACCCACCACCTCCCTAATTACCCCCATCTCCCTCCCTCCTGTGCTGACCATAAGACATTGCCCTCTTCTCCCTGGATCATCAGCCTTTTGCTTTCTTCTGGATCATTCTCATTTGCCTGTAGTATGCTCTAGGCTCTCCCATCTCCTTAACACCCATCTCTACGCCACCTTCACTACTCCAGCTACATTTCTCTGCTTCTCTCCATGATCAAACCCCCTCGAGGGAGTGGACGACGAAGGTATTCCCTTTGCAGCCCGGCCCAACAAACCTCACCCCGTCATGGCTCCACGGACACTGACCCAGCTGACAGGTCCACCGTGAATCGCCATCTCCACTCTGTCCTACCCTGACCTGCAGGGCATCAGCTTTAGTGGTTCTCAAACCTTGGCTAAAGTTCAACAAGTTCTCCATGTAAAAGCAAGGCCCCAGGAAGTTGAGGACCACTTCCTTATTGCCAAATCTCAGGGGCACTTCTCCATGGTCATTATACCTGACATCTTAGCACCAGCCACCACCTGTTCCCTCGAACGGCACTCCCCCTGACCCCTGACCTCCACGCTGCCGGTTCTCCTTCTCCTTGCTGGATCCTTCTCCTCCATCTGAGTACCCAGTGCTGGGATTCTCCAACATGTGCTCTGGGGTGTCCCTTCTCTACCTGGTCCCCATTCTGCAGGAAATCTCATCCAGTCCCTAAATACCTTGAGGCCACTGATACCAGTTATGAAGGAGCCACCTTCACTTCTCACCTGAGCTTCAGAATAACAAATCCAACTGCCTTTTTGACATCTCGACTTGGATTTTCAGGAACATCTCAAATGTAACATGTATATCAGGGAACTCTTGCCTTTTCTTGGGCACCTGTGTCCCACCACGCCCGGCCCCAGCGCAGGCTGCCCACCTCAGGAACGACCACCTGCATCCACTCAGGTGCTCAAGCCCAAAGTGTGACTGGTCTCCTGGATTCCTGCCCCTCCCTCACCTTCCACATCCAATCTGGGGACATTTTGTGTCGGCCCCGGGGCCAGAGCCACTTCCTTAGTTCAGACCTCTTCCAGCTCACATGGGACCATGGCCATGGCTTTCCTACTGGTCTCCCCACTTTCAATCTCCCAGCACCCCCAGACTAATGTCCACACAGGGCCAGAGTAATTGTCTCAAAATGAAGCTTAAAGTCCTGTTGCTTGGGGGTTTCCTCATGTGGCCCCCAAGGCTCTGATGGGGGACCCGTTTAGCTCCCACCCCATTCCTCTTCCTCTGCTCTCCTGCTGCTTCACTGAGCTTTGGGCCTTGAGCACCCCAAGTCCTTACAGCCTCCATGCATTTGCACCTGCTGTACCCTCTTCTTAGGATGGCTGTCCCCCCACTTGCGACAGGTCTAGCCTCCTCCCTCCTTCAGGTCCCAGAGTCAATGTGGCTTCCTCTTTGCGGCCTGCAGTGAGTGCTCCTCGCTCGGATGAGCTGCCTCAACCCCTCACCCCCGGGCAGGCCCACGTGTGCCTCGGCCACCAGCCCCGTGCCCAGGCCTGGCACACATAGCTGCCCCCTATTCAGGAGTCAACTAGATGAATAAATGCGTGAAATGCATGTCTTCTACAGCATCCTGCTGCCCTTGCACCCCTGTTTGTCTCACAACAGCATCCCCAGTTCATTAGTTTCAAAATTCATCTGCGGTCTCAGGGTCTTGGTACAGCTGCTCCTCTAGCCTCCTTCCCTCCCCAGCTTCAGATGAGCCAAAGAAAGAAAGGGCCGACTTAGATCTGGTCTCATCCTTGCCATGTGGCCCAATAAGGGAAAAGGCACCCTCCCTCAGCCCCTCAGAGAACTCCCCCCACACACTGCCAGCCCGCGCGGCCCGCCCGCTCACCTGCTTGTGCGGGTACACGTTGATGTGGCACTTGATGCACTCCTGCCCCATGTTGGCCCAGGAGTTCCCGCTCATCCATTTCCTCTTGCACTTGGGACACTTGTACTCGCCGAAGCAGCGCTTTTTGCCCTGGTACGGGGTCAGACCCTCGCCTTTGGGGCGTGCCTAGAGGGCAGGAAGCAAACACAAGGGATTGGGGTCCCCCAGGCCAAAAGGATGCCTCTGCGGGATCCCCACAGTCTCCTCCTTCAGTCTTCATACCCTGTGTCCCCGTGCAGAGGCACCTTTTGTCCCCAACCCAGAGAACACACAGGAACCCCAAGGCTGGGAGACCCGCACAGGGGTCAGAGAACAGGTGGTGGGTGGTGCACATCTTTTTTAGATTTAAAGGAGCAAAGTACTGGATGGTGGCTAGGAATCACTTCTTGAACTCTGACGTCATAAGGAGGTGCTGGGGGCCACGTGGACCTGCTCACAGGTGTTCTTTGGCCTGCACGGTGGCGCAGTTGTTAAATGGGTATAGAAGAGACAACCTCTGCAACCTGGTCTGCAGGGAATGTGTGCCTCCCGCAGCCCTGCGTCCAGCCACACTTCCCTACCTGGAGGCGATCCATTTCCTTACACCACCCCCAAGACAGCTCGGCATTTACAAACATAGGCAACGTATTCATACGTACACACATTCTTTCATCTCCAGCACTCACAGAGAAACAGATTATACATTCAGTTCTTCATCTTCCCTTTTTTGCTTAATAATATATCTTGGACATTTTATTATTATTATTAAGATATATGTGATATCTTTTCCTCACATCACACGAACAGAGGTACCGTACTCTGTGTAACAGTTGCAGCGGCCACGCAAGTTCCCTTGTGTTTGCCAGTCACTCTTACAGAACATCTGGGCTGTTTCTACTCTTCCACTGTTACAAACAATGCTACAATGAATAACTTTTGTATACATTGTAACAGTTTACACATTTGAGAGTACATTTGTGAGATAAGTTCCTGGAAATGAAACTGCTGAGTCAATGGTACGTGCACTTTTGATTTTTAAAGATAATGACAAATCACCACTGCCCCCCCACGCCCGCCACTGCAGGTGTGCCAACTTAATGTCTATATCCTCACCAACAGAGTTTTCATTGTTGCCAATCTAAGCGGCAGAAAAATCTTCTCAGAGTAGCCTTGACTTGTATGTCTTGTATTATGAGCAAGAGAGAATTCTCCCATGCATTTAAGAAGCATCTGTGTTTGCTTTGTGAACTGTTGGTTTATATCCCTTGTGATTTTTTTTTTTCTGCTGGTGTTTGGTATTTTTCTTGTTGACTTGTGATTGTACTTCATATATGAAAGAAACTAGCTCTCTCCTACATGGTGTTTTTCTTTAAACAGTTTTATTGAGATATGATTCACAGTCTACATTTCACTCATTTAAGGTGTACAATTCAATGTTTTTAGTCTATTTACAGAGTTATACAATCATCACTGCACTCTAATCTTAGAAGATTTTTGTCACTCCCCAAATGTTACCCATTAACAGTCACTCTCCATCCTACCCCCACTCACCCCACTCAGCCCTAGGCAACTACTAATCTACTTTCTGTCTCTATCAATGTCCCGATTCTAGATATATCATATTCTACATATTTCATAACAGCTGTCCTCCTGTGTCTGGCTTCTTTCACTTACTGTAATGTTTTTAAGGTTCACCCCTATTGTAGCAGGTCTCAGTACTTCATGCCTTTTTGTGCTGAATAATATTCCACTGTATGGACATGCCACGTTTTATTTACTCATTCAACAGACAATGGACATTTGAGTTGTTTCTAATTTTTGGCTATTATGAATAATGCTGCTATGAACATTCATGCTGCATAATGTTTTGTAAATTTGAATTAGTTGCCCCAATATTTGAAAATGGGCGATTTTGCATAGAAATATGACCACATTGGTCCAGAATTCTTGCTGACGACTGTCAGCTGAGGTTGAGGAGTGGCTGCCCCATCAGACCAACTGCATATGTATCCTCCACGTCACCTCTGTTCCCATCAGCTCTCCCTGCATTTATGTCACCTACTTGGCACTGGCAGGCTTTGAGTTTGAGACAGGCTTAAACATAGGTTCTACACTGTGACTATTCAAAGTGTGGTTCCTAGACTGGCATCAGCAGCGTTACCTGGGAGCTTATTAGAAATGCAGAATCTCAGGCCCCACCTTAGATCTACTGAATCAGAACGTGCATTTTAACAAGAGCCCCAGGGAATTCATATGCCATTAAGCTTAAGAAGCACTGGGCTATGAGGAGATCTGTTTCCATAGTAATGTTTCCCTGGGTAATTGCCCATTCATGAAGTTGTACATAATGGTTAACAGCACAGACTCTGGATCCAAATCCTAGCTCTGTGATCTTGGGCAAGTTACTTCATAAGGATAATGAAAATAACTACCATATAAGACTATTCTGAGGATTAAATGAGATAATACATGTAAAATACTTAGAACAGTGCCTGGTACACAAAAGTAAAATAGGAGTATTTGTTATTATTATTATTTACTAATATAGAACAATAGTAGGATATGAGATAAAAATTTCCTCCTTCAGTAATCACGTCTCTTTTTCCTAGGAGCCATTACCACCACTTGGTGACAGCCTACTAGAATTTCAGGCAAAACACTAAAAAGGGGCATATATGCTGAGTGTATAAACTTAAACTTACAAAGTGACAGCAACACTGCCCCAATCTTTTGGGCTTGCTGCTTAATGTCTTTTGGATCCTTATTGGCCCTCCCGGCAGCTGAGATGTCCTGGGGAAGGTTCAGTCTGAGGCAGGGCTGTCTCTCAGCACTGGTCAGCTCGGAGAAGGAGGCTAGTTATGCCAAGGGGAGCACTCAGCGTGCAGTAAGGGCCCGGGGTTCAGTCAGTTTGCAGCAAAGGGGCCAATTTATGCCTCTGAAGGCACTGTGAGCTCTGTCGGTGTCAAGTTAGTGGGTGTGCAGCAAGCCCTCTAACCTCTTCTGGTGTCACTTTTTCTACCTGGTGCCTGGTACCCACAGCTTCTAAGCAACCTCAGCTTCTACGGCTTCCTTCTTCAGTAATCCTGAAATAAATTACTCATTCCCCTGTGTCCCTGCTCTTAAGGGCATCTACACTTTACAGGAGGACGAAAGATAGGCACGGGGTGCCTCACCAATGGTAGGATTTGAGATTCCTTGACCAAAGGGGAAAATGTGGGGGCCATCACTAGCCAGGCCCACTCTGGGGTCTGGTTCTGCAGCCCTCTTGATTTAAAGACTGACAGACTAACAGGACCTGGCACCTGGCCTCCTGCAGCTGGGGCCAAGGGCAAGGGTGAAGGCATCAGAGGGAGGGGTCGAGGCATCCCAGGGGCACTCAGCAGAGCAAAGGGTGAGGACTGGGGCAGGACTGACAGTTTAGTTCCCAAAGACCCTCTGTTTCAGAAATGAACAGGAAGGAACCTGTACAAATAAAGAAGATACAGAGTGTGCACCAAAGAGAGAAGCAGGAAGATGAGAGAGGAGAGCAAGGGGGTGAGTTGGGGAGCATCGCCACACGGTGTAATCGGAAAACCAGCCGTTCTGGAGCCGTCCATCAAGGAGTGTGAGCTGTGGGGCCAGGCCCAGAGATGGGGGCTCAGGCCTCCTAAGGACGAGCTGTCCTCAGCGCACCATTCCCACACTGCTGTCAGGCCAGGCACTGGAAGGGCCCAGTTCTGACACCCCACTGCATGGGACGTGGTTGAGACCGTGGAATTCAGGGCCAGACGCCCGTGATTGCATTCTGCCTCTGCCTGTGACTATCTGGGGGATCCTCAACAAGTTACTCAACCTCTCTGTGCTTCAGTTTCCTCATCTGGAAGCTGGGCATGATGATAAAGGGACTGCCTCCCGGGCCCTTGGAAGGATTTGATGCATCTGTGCACATGATGGTCTTAGCTCAGTGGCTGGACATGGCAAATGCTCAGTAACCATTAGAGATTTCAGTATGATTCTCTCCTAAGGCTCATACAGGGAGACGGAGTAGATGTGTTCTGGGTGATGCAGAGGCTAGGGCTGAAACTAATGGGCATAAATCGTAAGAAGAAAGTTCCAAAGATGGGAGGGAGTCCTGGGTAGAGGATGGGCTCGCTCTCCCTGGGTTGTGTGGGAGGTGGCAAACGAAAAAGGAATAGCATACGGTGTCTTCACCTTCTGGAATTCTCATGGAGGAACCAAGAAAGACAGAGGAAGGCTGTGGAATCTCTGGAGATGCTGCTGGCAGAGGACAAAGGGAAGAGCAAAGAGAGCAGACATTTATCAAGCACCGCCTGTGTGCTCCGCTTTGCGATCAGGGCTCCACAGCCTGTCAGGTCCCATTCAACTCTTCCCATAACCCTGTGGGGCAAGGAATATCATCAACCCATTTAACAGATGGTGAAACTGAGGCACAGAGAAGGGACAGGACTTGCCAAAGAGTTTCCAGTGGGTGAGGAGAAGGAGGCTAAGTCCAGCAGGCTTTTCCACAAGGCGACACTTGGCTCATCTTTTCTGTCTGTCACCCCCAAGTGTGTCCCCATCAAGAGGCTGAGGCCTGTACTCAGGAGGAGAAGGTCCCCGGCCCCCAGGGCCTCCAGCTCAGCCCAGCCCAGTGTTAGGCCTTGGCATTGCCCTCCTGTGGGTCAGAGGGGAGAAATGGCCTGCAGGGCAGGGGTGAAGAGGCAGTGGACGGAGGGGAAGACAGGCCAGCCAGCAGCTCTTGGCAGCGGGGAGCCACTTCCTGGAAGGGCTCAGTCCCAACATTGTTTATGCTTACAGACGAGAGGGTAGGGCCAAAGGGAGTAGGAATTTTTGAGGAACAAAGGCTTCTCTACCCCCCACGCTTACCCCCTGCCTCCTCTCAGAAAGGCTCGGCCTCTCCTCATAAACTTCAGCACGAAACGGACGGTGACTGCCAACAGCTCTGCAGGGGCAGCCACCCGCCCCAGCTGGGAAAGATGCCAGGTCTGACCAGGCTTTCTGACCCGGGCCCCTGCCACATACCCCTCTGGGGAATCACATCTGCCAGGAGCCCAGGCAAAGCTACTGGGGCTCAGACACCACCCCTTGTAGCACAGACAGGCCCTCTGGGGACCACAGAGGCAAGGGAACTTGCTCAAGGCCACATA